CTGGACTTTGAGAATTTCCCAGTTGCCACATGGCCAGAAGGAGGAGGTATCAGCCTGCAATATATGCCCCTCCATACCATCTTAACTAAGAAGAGAAACAGCAAAATGCAGGCCTATGGTTAACAGCTTCAATTTTTTTTTCTTCTGTTTGGTTTGTAACACCTTGCTTGAAGAAGAAGCCAGTGAAGCTTCAAAAGCTTGCAACATGTATATTTTGTGATTTGGTTGGCCCAATAAAGAATAGAATTGAATAGAATCATAGAGTTGGAAGAGACCCCAAGGGTCATCTAGTCCAACCTCATTCTGCCATGCAGGAAGACACAATCAAAGTCCTTCTGATAGAGGGCCATCCAACCTCTGTTTAAAAACCTCCAAAGAAGGAGACTCCACCACACTCCGAGGAAACATAACTAGATCCACTGGGAAACAACAACAAAGAAAATAGTACAAAGGGGCTCTAATATCTTCAAGCAACTGAAAAACCTTTCAAAGATGTAGATCAACTTAGAACTTGTGCATTTGGTGTGGAGGACTAGGAAGGATAACAGCTTGATTTTGTTGTTGCTGTGTACTTTCAAGTTGTTTCCAGCTTATGGCAACCTTATAATAGGGTTTTCCTGGCAAATTTGTTCAGAGGGGGTTTGCCATTGCCTTCTCTTGAGGCTGTGACTTGTCCAAGTTCACCCAGTAGATTTCATCGCCAAGAGGAGAATTGATCTCTGATCTCCAGATTCATTGTCCAACACTCAAACCACTACACCACAGCGATTCAAACTGCTTGATTACCAGTGCATTATAGCTTATATCCCTTGATGCCAGTAACTAAGCCTTAGGAGAGACATTTAAATCTTTTAGAATGGCAGAAAAGCCTATACAAAACCTGGGAAATACCAAAGGTTATATTTACAGGGGAAAGGGGCATGGCTTTTTGGGGAACCCCTGAGATAGGCAATCCAATAAGTGAAATTTCAGGCTTGGCCTTAGGCTCCCAGACCCTGATAGGGAAAACTGTGATAGATGAAGCATCTTACTGGTATCACTGTTTGGTGGATTTTTGACTGGACTCCTATGAACAAATCTGGCCAAGAAAACCCCATGATAGGTTTGCCTTAGGGTCGCCATAAGTTGGAAATGACTTGAAGGCACACAATGCACATGTCACTTCTCAGTCTACTCTTCTCCAAGCTAAACATACCCAGCTCCTTAGGTTGTTAACATGCCCTATGCTGGGTTCATTCTGGCCGCTGCCATGCTGTCTCTGGAATGCAATGGCTCCTCATACACATCCTCTATAAATTCTTCACAATAATGCTGCATGCATTTCTAGCAAAGCACTTTAATGATCCTTAGTCACCAGCGCTCCACCTCCTGTTCAAACCTTATTGACTAAGGGTCCATTCTCACTACACAAATGTAGCACTATCATTCCACTTTAACAACCATGGTTCAATCCTATGGAACCCTGGGTTTTGTAGTTTGCTGGGTCAACTAGGCACTTTATGGCTACCAAACCTAAAGTGCCAATGCCAGGATTCCTGAAGATGGAACCATGACCATTTAAGTGGACTGATAGCCCTGTAACTTTGTAGTGTGAAATGCATCTGTTTAAAAAAATCAAATGGGTTAGATGAGAAGTGATAAAAGAATTCCATATGACAGAAGGAAATAGATATTATAAGGAAAAGGAGCAAACAAATGCAAGAGGGGGTAAAGGCAACCATCTATAAATCACTGCATTTTTACAGTGGAATGAATGTACACTCGTCCCTCCGCATTCGCTGGGGTTAGGGGCACAGGACCCGCATGAATGTGGAAAAACTGCAAATAACAAAAATACTATTTTTATCTGAGAGAACACTTCTCTAGGAATCTCTAGGTCCTACAGGAGAACTCTGCAGTCAACATCTGCCAGACATTGACCATATAATTGCGCTGGAGGAGCTACAAATGCCTAGTAGAATGTTCTCTCTAGGAATCTCTAGATCCTTCAGTGCAATTTTTGGCTAAGGTTGACCATAGAGTTGCGTTGGAGGACCTAGATATTCCTACAGAGAATGTATTAATAAAACCTGTGAATAATCACATTCGTAAAAGTCAAAGCTGCAAATGTGGAGGGAAGAGTGTAATGTTAAAAGGTATATGGATATTGTCTTACATAGAGTTGTATGTTTGTTTTTAAAAGAAAGTATGTTTGTTTGCTAATTAAAAATATTTTAAAAAATAACTTTGTAGCATGAAAAGGGCCACAGGTGTGCCATTTGTAATGGCCAGTACCATCCCGAAGACAGCCACTGTGCTGTAGTGGTTGGAGCATTGGACTAAGATTCTGGAGACCAGGGTTTGAATCCCGGATCACCCATGAAACCCAATTGGGTGACCTTGAGCAAGTCACACTCTTTCTCTCATCCTCAGAGGATGGCCATGGCAAACCCCCTCTGAAGAAACGTGCCAAGAAAAACCCATGACAGGTTTACCACTATAAGTCAGAAATGACTTGAAGGCACACAACAACAACAACTTCTATCAGCTGATTTATAAGCCAACCAGGACACATCAACCCTTATGAAAATCCTGACATTGACCCAGATGTCTTGGTCTGTTAAACCAGTTACTTCACCCAACCTTCCTTGGTCTTCCTTCTCTGGAGCCCAACTTGCCATCTTTCGATGCATTATATGTCTTCAAACACTGGCTTGCTTGCAACCATACTTTGATACTGAGCTGTGGATGGTCTCACTGA